ATATTCCATCAGTTTCAGTGTCATTAAAAAGTTTCGATTTACAGTTTGAAATAATCTTTATTGTCCTTTACTGGCCAGTAATTCCCACAGAACTCGACTGTGGTTGTGGTGATGTTGAGGCATAATGTGTAGATAGACACCCTGTATGTGTGTATGTTTGTAGAAAGAGGCACATACATGGTTTCCTAACTTATTTAATAAATAATACCATATACAGTTTGTGACAGTAAAAAAACAAAGTAATACTTTCTCTACATCTTGTGAATTCCTTATGAACTAATACTTTACCATCTTGGACTGAAGCTCTTGGTATTTCTTTTCTTTTTTTATATACACTGCTAGGCCTTGATACAGCTCCTCTACTAACTTTCCAAACAATTTAGCTTTTGTCTATGCTTTTACACTAACTTTCTTCTGATTGGCTGTTCCTTACTGTTTCCAGAGTTGAGATGTCCACATCTTCTCTAACTTGTCTCACAGCCTTTGGTATTTCTCAGGCTGCTGGTATAGCTATATCGTCACAATGGGCGTCTTCCTCTGCTTCTCCACAGCTGCTATGTCATTGGTCACCTACCACCAGCTTGTCCGTCTATACCTGGAAGTCTCACAGGATTTTAGCTTGGTCATTCTCAACCAGCCTAGGGTGTGTATCCCATTTTGACCTCGGGACTTCTAGACCATACTCGGCATAGATGTTCCTTTATACTATGCCAGCCATTTGGTAATGGTGTCCCAGTATGCCCTGTCTGTGCTGAAGTGTGCATCTTTGCACAGGCTGCACCTGGGGTCTTGCCTGGTGTGGTAGACCCCAGACTCTATCGCTCTGGTGCTTAGGGCTTGTTCCTGTGCTGTCTTTCAATCCAACTTTGGTGCAGCCATAGGATTAGCTACTTTTTCTATTGACCGGTGAAACTCGGCGTGCAGCGGCACATGAACAGTTACGGCCATTTTCCTGAAGTACTAATGGCTCTATGTTGTTTTATCCTGCATAGTGCTTTTGGCACTTACTTGTCCTCAGCTTTCTATCTTCGGCAGAGAGTACAGTTATAGGGTGCTGGACGTGAGAGGAAAGCATCCATACGTAGTAAGGAGCTTTCTTGTCTTGTCATGATGATGTCTAAGGCAGACGTCATCATGACAAGAGCAGGACAGGGAGGAAAAAAGAAAGGTGGGGGATAGGGGGAGATAAAATAAGAGGATAGAGTACTCTGGAAGAAAAAAACAAACCTACAGCATCTGAAACACAAATTCCAAAATACAGAGACGTATAAATCAGCAATGTTCTTGTAGTGTGAGAGAGAGAGTGTTGAGCCCCTTTTCCATTAGTACCTACTCTGATCAACTCAGATTGAGTGGTTTTCCATTACAATCCAGCACCACCTAATGTTCGTGGTCGCTGTAATGCAGCTTAGCGTTGGTGGCGTAATTAATATGCGACATGAAAGGTACAACAAAGGTGGCCATCGAGGCAAGAATATACCCGCTGCCCGGACACGGGGAGTGGTGGTTTTGA